TTCGAATGTATGAATACAAGTTTTGCAAATTTCTCCAAGATGGCGATGGTCCGTTCCGCAGCATCCTCCGAATAGGTTTAAATTCTTCAGTTTATATAAAAGAGCTCTATTGTCTTCACTGAATGCCACGGGATTTCCGTCATCAAGTTCTTTGCTTTCGTTAAGCTCAGCATGACTTTTCTTTGAAGGATTACCTTTAATACCGTGAATCCTCGATACCCATGCTTCTCCAGGGACTAAGAGATGCTCAAAGTTTCTGGGATGCGCACAATTGATCATATAGTACACAGGAGTATTTTGAGTGGCTTTGTCTACAAGTTCAATTGCTTCTTGCAAACTTTGTCCTACCGGCAACTTACCATCAACGTCAAGTGTGAACGATATTGCGACGGGCATGCCAACTGCTCTGGCAGCCAGCGTAATGCCAATAGCTTCTTCAGGGTAGTTCATTGTGAACGAAGTCACCATGTCCGCTTTAGTTTGACTAAAAATGTCAATTTGCTTCGAGTGATATGCTTGTGCTTGCTCAATTGACATTATCAATGTAGGAAAATATCCATCTGCTCGCGGACCAACACATCCATTGATAACCATTGGTAACTTTGCCGAATCGTATTCATCGCGAACATCACACAATAAATCGATGGATTTACGGTTTACATCAATCAAATATTGGTCTGAGTAGCCTAGTTTTGTAGTCCAATCAGGATTTGCACGCCATGTAGCACTTTCCAAGACCATTCCGATATTATATTTGTGAGCAATGTTGGCGAACGTGCGTTGATATTTTTTCATCCATTCACATCCGGTCTCGTCGTTTAATACAGTAAACTCAGCAAAATCAGGAAGTTTCACACCTTCATGAAAGGTAAGTGTGGTGTACAAGCCACTGTTGGTTATAAAGAAGTCGCCTAACAGTTGTGGCAACTGGTCTCTATATCTAGCCATTGTATATTTATGTGTACATGAAAACTAATTCTAAAACAAAGGTACCACTCAATGAAATTTCAAGTTGCAATTCGCGCTAGCATGAAAGAGCGTTATTGAAATGCTTGGAAAGGAATGTTCAAATAAAGTATTCTTGCCATTGAAAAGAGGTAAAAATGCTTCAAATAGGAGAGCGACGGCACAGCTATGCGTCCAGTTCGTCACACCGGCTCTCAGCCAGTTTTATAGCCCGATCCAAAATGATTTTATCTGAGAATTTTCACGTAATTTTTGAGCCGTACAAATAGTTTTTTGCATATTCACTTCGTTGTGCTAAACTTCCTTCACGAAACAATAGATATTGCTGCTAAACTCTGTCATGTTTTGTAGTCCATCCCGTTGATTTTGCATTAGAAACCCACGGGATTCCTTTTTTATCACACCTATACTACTTGTGAGATCATAAAGAACTAGACATACTAGATAACAATAATGCCAGACTAAGCCAAACCTGATGTGACAATTGGTGAAATGATACAAGATGAACAGTGAACTTCGAAAACATAAGATAACAAGGGAATAGACTTCTATCTGCAAATTTCTGCATTTTTTGGGAAGCGAAAAAGTTAAGCGACTTTCAGTATGAGAATTGGCAAAATTTTTCATTTATCTAAGCCAAAATTGTTTCAAGACCTTGATATGTTTTGCATGTGTGGCGAAGCAAACTTGTTCCTGCTCCTGCGACATCTCTACTTCCATAGCGAAAGCGAGTGTTTATGTTACGGTCAAAATTAGAATCAGGTCAAATTCTAAATTTGCCTGGTCAAAATTAGAATTCCAATTTTGTCCGGACGAAATTAGAATTGGACTAAAAATAAATTGATCAAGTTGAAAACAGTTAGAGCTTAAATAAATAAAGAGTTTTTTATTTTAAAAACTATTTAAAGATGCAACAAATCCAAGGTTTGGGATTTGGTATTATAAGGTTTGGATTTGAGATAATATTTGAATTTGATTTGAAGTTGTGTTTGGTTTTCAAGTTGGATTTGATTTGGTTTTTGATTCTATTTGGATTTGATCTTCAGTGGTTCAAAATCCAAAGGATTTGGTAAGATATGGTGTCACAAGCAACAACTTACTATACTAGGATTGGGTAGAACCAAAAAAGAATTTTAGGATTTAGGACTAAATCCTTTGTGTCTGGATTTGGATTCGGTTTCAGATACCAAAATTTTTTTCTAGTTCTACTCTACCACTAGTAGTGTAGAATGTTATTGGTAACACCACATTTTACCAGATCTTTTGGGCTTTGATCCATGGGACGCCAGATTCAAACCAAATCCAAACCTCAAAATCCACATTGAGTCTAAAATCAAGTAAAATTCTACTTGAAACCCAAACACAACTTCAAATTTAATTCAAATATGATCTCAAATCCAAACCTTATAATACCAAATCCCAGACCTTGGATTTGTTGCATCTTTAAATAGTTTTTAAAATAAAAAACTCTTTATTTATTCAAGCTCTAACTGTTTTCAACTTGATCAATTTATTTTTAGTTCAATTCTAATTTCGTCCGGACAAAATTGGAATTCTAATTTTGACCAGGCAAATTTAGAATTTGACCAGATTCCAATTTTGACCGTAACATTTATATTAGAACTACTAGTACAAGTATGCGCTAGTTACTCAAGAATGCATAGGCAAGCGCAGAAGATGGCTGTACTTTTGAAAGCAACTTTGAAAACCAAGCCAGTAATATTCAGATCTCAATCTTAGTGGTTTTGAGAAAAGCTCACTTTCTTAGAAGCAACATATAAAAATAATTTCTTTTCTGCGCTTCACTGCTCGAAATGATGACATTGTGAATAATAATTTGTAATTTAGCTACGATAATAATGAGAAGCTCAATAGGGTAGATAATTTTACGACCTTTACTATGGTCTAAAAAGCCAGATGTCAATTGACCAAAAAGATTACCCGCATTCATAATACTCACGATAACACCTTGGATATTCGACGGTACCGTATTGTTTCGACCGATGTAGTAGACATAGTCAAGCATGGAAACAACCAAGTTAATAATAAAGATGTCATAGGCATCCGTAAAGAATCCTGTTTAGGAAATAAGAACTGCACCGATCTATCGTGCGGTGATTTTGCTTTTTGGTAGGCTGTGCTGAGTAGAAACATTTTCTGATGCTGGTTCTTACAGTGGCACCGTTAAGAGAGGATTTTCTTCGTTGAACATACCATATCATTTTTGCTTACTTACTTCGCAAGATTTGAATATGGAAATAATGGGAGCGTGAAACGAAATATCACTCTTTATATACCTATCGTATTCAAAAATGACACGCAGAGAATGCACGCACATTGAGTTGCAAACAACGCCGTTAAAGTATTCCGAACTAAAAAATTACTATGCCTCTTCTAATTGATCCGCCCCTTCCTCTGTCTGCATCTCATAGGTTAATAAACCAGACGCCTTCTAAAAGCATCAATGAAGATTTTCTTTCTGTGATGTTTTTCAATTTCACCATATATAAATGTGTACATATATGGATGCATATAGACGATATAGTCATGTACACGCAGAAAGAAAAAAGCGGTTGCTCGGCTATAAATGAATCACACATAGATAGCAGAACTTTTTATATACAACATTGTAAAAGAGTAAATGGAGATTACTGCACTGATAGAGCAAAAAAATAAAAAAGAAACGAGTTTCGACTGCGAAACGAACCAAGAACAATCATGACTAGTAACTAATGTCCGCGCCAGAATAAAAGAGGGGTGAGTGTAAGCTCAATAACTCGACAACCGCAATACCTAGCTACCTGCGGTTTTCACCAATCGAAAGAGGAGGAGCGGGCACGTCTTTTT